CCTCCTCTTCTTCTTCCTCCTCCACCTGACTCCTCATACTCCCTCGTCCTCCTCCTCCTCCTCCCTCCTCCTCTTCCTCCCCCTTCTCCTCATCATCCTGCCCCTCCGCCTCCTCATTCTCCTCCTCCTCCCTCCTCCTCTTCCCCCTCATTCTAACCTCCCTTCTCCGCCTCCTTTTCCTCCTCCTCCTCAACCCTTCCGTCTCCTCTCCTCCTCTCCTCTCCTCTCCTCTGTTTCTCCTCCTCCTCCTCACTGTCTCCTCCTCGCCTCCTCCTTCCTCTTCCTCCTCCTCCTCTTTTCCTCCTTTTCCTTCCTCCTCCTCTCTCCTCCTCCTCCTCCTCCTCCTCCTCCTCCTCCTATTCCTCCTCCTCCTCAAACATCATCATCATCATCATCAAATCCTCATCATCATCATCATCATACATCATCATCATCATCATCATCATCCATCATCCATCATCATCAATCATCATCATCATCAGCATCAGCATCCAGCAGCACACAGCAGCTCATCATCATCATCATCATCATCCTCATCATCATCATCATCATCATCATCATCATCATCATCATCATCATCATCATCATCATCATCCTCATCATCATCATCATCATCATCATCCTCATTCCTCTTCCTCCTCCTTCTCCCCCTCTTCTCCTCCGCCTCCTCATCCTCCTCCTCTCCTCCTCATCCTCCCCCTCCTCCTCCTCCTCCTCCTCCTCCCTTGGCCTCGTCGTCTTCGTTCCTCCTTCTCGTCGTCCTCCCCATCCTCCTCCTTTTCCTCCACCGCATCATCATCATCATCCTCATCATCACCAGCATCATCATCATCACCATCATCATCATCATCATCATCATCATCATCATCATCATCACCATCATAATCATCATCGTCCTCATCATCATCATCATCACAATCATCATCACCATCACAGTCATCATCATCATGAGAAACATCATAATCATCACCCCCACAACAATCATCATCAGCACCTTAATATTCATCAGCATGGTCATCATCATGATAATCATCGGCAGCAGCATCATCATGCCTCTTCATCAGCACCAGCATCACAATCATCATCATCCTATGCATCTTCAACGCCAGCTTCATCCTCATCCTCATCATCATCGTCATCATCGCCGTCGTCGTCATCATCACCACCACCATCAGCATCATCATAATCCGCATCATCATGATCATTACCACCAACACCATCATCATCATTATCATCATCATCCGCATCATCATCATCACCATCATCATCATCATCATCCCCATCCTCATCCGCATCATCAGCATCACCATCATCATCAGTATCATCATCAGCCTCATCATCACCACCACCACCACCATCACCATCATCATCCTCATCATCATCGTCATCGACCTCCTCCTCTGCCTCCTCCTGCTCCTCTTACTGCTCCCGCTGCTGCTCCTCCTCCTCCTCCTCCTCCTCCTCCTCCTCCTCCTCCTCCTCCTCTTCCTCCTCCTCCTCCCCCTCCTCCTCCTCCTCCTCCTCCTCCTCCTCCTCCTCCCCTCCTCCTCCTCCCCTTCCTCCTCTCCTCCTCCTCCTCCTCCTCCTCCTCCTCCTCCTCCTCCTCCTCCTCCTCCTCCTCCTCCTCCTCCTCCTCCTCCTCCTCCTCCTCCTCCTCCTCCTCCTCCTCCTCCTCCTCCTCCTCCTCCTCCTCCTCCTCCCCTCCTCCTCCTCCTCCTCCTCCTCCTCCTCCTCCTCATCCTCCTCCTCCTCCTCCTCCTCCTCCTCCTCCTCCTCCTCCTCCTCCTCCTCCTCCTCCTCCTCCTCCTCCTCCTCCTCCTCCTCCTCCTCTCTCCTCCCTCTCCTGATGCCCCTCCTCCTAAGGCCCGTTTGGGAGCCTCTTGGGGCCCTCCTGGGGCTGTCTCGGGGCCGTCTGGGGGCCCTATTGGGGCGTCTTGGGGCCCTCTCGTGCTGTCCGTGGGCCATCTTGGACCGTTTTCGGTTTTTTGGGGGGCCCATGGGGTCGTTTTGGGACAATCTCTGGGGTTTCTTAGGCCGTCTTGGGCCCGTACGGGGGGCACTCTTGGACCGTTAGCTCCCGTTCCCATCCCTCCTCTTTTTCATTGGCGAAGCACCAAAATTTCGAGGCCGCCCCCGGCTCCATCACAAAGGCAGGCGCAGCGGCGCCGCCGAAACAGGGACAGAAAAAGAAAAGGTTGGGCGGGCGGGACATGCGGTCCCACACCTGAGCCCAAAACAGCGGCAGGCAGGCGGCGCGCGCGACTGAGACACGAGGAAGGGCAGCGGGGAATCGAACATTGCTTCACATACGTGAATCCGCATTACCTCCCGCTCCCATCCCTCCTCTTTTTCATTGGCGAGGCACCAAAGCTTCGAGCCGCTCCCAACCCCAATGCCAATGAGGGAAAAGGGGGGAGCGGTACAGGAGCGGGGCACTGCGGTGCCTAATTTTCAGGGCCAGAATCGTCGACGACGCCCTGCGCCAGTAGGCCGGCGGCCACCTCGTCGCCTGACACGCACGGCCTGGCTGAAGCCACCGAGCGCCAACCACCCCTTGCGAGCGTGGTTTCCACGCCCGACGCGGCGAAAACGTCCGCGGCCGCGCCGCGCCAGACGTCGTGGCCAAACCACACTTCGGGATTAGCGACCCCGACCGCGCGCAAATGACAGCGGAGCTCGGCTGTTCATGTCTCGAGGGTGTATCCGCCAAACGGGCGGCCCCCGACCCTGAGGAGCTCGTTCCAAACGGGTAGCCACGTATGCAAGCAGATGCCCTCATCGACACCGCAAATACAAAATGCGAAAACCGTGCACAAGTCGATCCGCTGTTTCCGGCGCATCGGCCCGCACACGAACCGACCGCCCTGCACCTGCACGCTAGCGCGCGCGCACTGCGCAAACAGCTCAGATGGCATCCGCAACACGAAAATATAAGCAAGCGCTGCAATGACGCACCACCACCGACGCTGGCGCGACAGCGCGAAGCGGAACAACCGCCGCAACAGCAACTGGTCTACGCGGCGCAAGGGGGAGCCGAGGGGCCCGGCTCTTGGCCGTGCCCTAACCAATCCCGCCCAAGATGACGCCCTGATCGCCTTACCAGGAAACGCCGGCTAACTGGCGCGCCAGGGCCCACGCGCTCAGCCACTCACGCTGTTTGGAGGCATATGCACAGACTGCAGCAACTCCACGAACGCGCTGCACCGAGCAGCCCAGCGGGGGGTCCCCCAACAATTCGCTCGCCCAGGCAATCATACGCAAGTGCGACGCGTATGCCCGCAGCGTGGACGGCGCAGCTTTGCACGGAAACCGTCGTTGCACCACCGAGTCCGCCACGGACCCGAGGTCGACGCCCGAAGCGCGGGCTTCAGCCACGGCAGCCAACATCTCCCGCGGGGGCGCCCCGTCCGGGCGTTTCTGGCTACATCCCCTGTCTCTGCTGAGCGCAACCATCATGTCCCGATTACGCCCAGTCGCCTGGGCGATGGAGTCGAGGACTCCCCAGCACGCGCCCCACAACGCGGCGGCACCGCGCGGGGCAGGGGCAGCGGCCACTGACTGCACCCCGCGGGGGCCCGGACAGGCAGCGCGCGGGCGGCCAGGCGCGCCGCCGCCGCCACCGTGGCCCGCGGAGCCAAACGAGCCCGCGGGCTGCCCCGCGGCGCCGCGAGCGGGCTAGCAGGGCTCTGCGGCGGCCGCAACGACGGGCGCGTCGAAGCCGGAGCGGCCGGCGCCTGCCGCGGCGGCCGGACGGCGCGCTGCACGTCGGCGCGGGGCCGCTTGGGAGACGGGAACCGCGGCCCCACCCTGCGCGGCTTCCTCCTCGCGCGCCGGAGGGCGCCGACGCGCCAGCGGGCGCGAGAGGGCCGAAACGGCTGCTCGAATCCCCGCGCGCTGGAGCTCCTCCACCTCCTTCTCGCCCTCGTCTCGTCGTCGCCCTCCCTCCCCGTCCCCGCGCCCTCCCGAGGTCGGCGGACACGCCGCGCGGACCCGCCGCGCCCCCCCCGGGGCGGGGGGGGCAGGGGAGGGCGGGGCGGCAGCAAGGGGAAGGGGGAAGGGAACGAGGGGGAGGGAGGGAGGGAGGGAAGGGGAGACCGGAAGCGGACGGAGGGGGAGGAGCAAAGAAGCGACATGACACGACATTTTTTTGTCTTGCACGCGCGCCGGCTTGCACTCCGTGGCAGCGGCCCAGGTTCACCGAAAGCGTCGGCGAGACAGTCACCACGTCCGCCCCGAGCCTGCGAAGCGCGGCTTCGCCGTCGTCGCGCGAAGCCGGGCCAAGCGGATTTGATTGAGTATGTACAAATTCGAACCACGCCCTGAAGTCGCAACGACAGAGCAGCTCGTGGATAGCCCCCACCACACACGCTACATGTGGGATTTGGTATATCCTTTGGTACACCCACTGATGGCTGCCATATTGTCCCCACAACAGAACACGCAGTGCGAGCGCAGCCGGTCGCCCTTGAGCCCAAAACAGCGGCAGGCAGGCGGCGCGCGCGCAAGAGACGCAGCGGGGAATCGAACATTGCTTCACATCCGTGAATCCGAGTTTGGGGTCCCTTTGGGGCGCCTCTGGGGCCGTCTTGGGACTATCTTTGGGGCCTCTTGGGCCGCCTGGGGCCCTTCTGGGACTGAAATAGGGGAGCCCGAAAAACTTGCAAAAACATTCGGGATATCAATGTTTTGGGCCTCTGGAGCCCTCCCGGGGGCCCTCTTGAGGGCCTCTGGAGCCATCTCGAGACTCCCTTGGACCGTCTGGAGGCCATCTGACGCTCTCTTGGGGCCGTCTTGGGGACTCTGAAGCCGTTTTGGGGCCCTATTGGGCCGTCTTGGGGCCCTCTGGCCGGTTCACCCGAAAAAATATGAAGAAACAGGCCATGGGAGCCGCCCAGGAGCTGCTCCACTCGAAAAAAAACTAGGCGCGAGGGCAACTAGACTGTTGTTCTCCCGCTAGCCCCCTCCCTCAGACCCCCTCCCTATAAGGGCTCCGCCCCCTGCGAAGCGTCTCTCCCTCGTGCCTCGCTCTTTCCGTCATCCGCCGCCCCCTGTTTGCTCGCCACAGGGGTGTCTGGCGTGCTGAATTTCTGATGGTTGCTGGGTCTCTCTGAAACTCCCACCGGGGCTCAGGTCCATCGCGCCGGGTTGCGTGTCTCGTCGGTCGTGCTGCTCAAGGTGGCCGCAAGATGGCCTCCTTGACGGCCAAGATGCGCACAAGACGGCCAAGATGGCCCCAAGAGAGCCCAAGATAGCCCCAAGATCGCCTCCAAGACGGTCCCAAGATGCCTCGGAAACAGCAGCAAAGATGGTCCAAGATGGCCAAAACGGCCCCAGAAGCGACCAAGAGGCTCCGAAGATGGCCTAAGAGGCCTCCAAGAGGTCCTCCAGGAGAGCCCGAAGATGCCAGACTATCTGATTTTACGTAGGTGCTTGAAGGATGCTGGCATGTGCTTCAAAACGGCCTCCCGTCGGCCCAAGATGGCCCAAGAGGCTCCCAAGATTACCTCAAAATCACCCAAGAGGCCTCAAAGATGTCCCCAAGACGGCCCCCAAAGGGCCCCAAGACGGCCCAAGAGACCTCCAAGACGCCAAAGATGATCTTCAAGACGACCCTGAAGTGCCCCGAGAGAGCCCCAAGACGGCCCAGAGAGGCTCCCAAGACGGCTTCCGACGACGTCAGATGGGCCAGGAACGCCGTAAGATTGCCAAAAAGGCTCCCCGAGAGGCACAAGGAGGCCCCCAAGATGCGAGGCCCCCAGGAACAGTGGGCCCCAAGAGTGACCCAAGAAGTTCTCAAGAGGTATCCTCATCCTTCTCCTCATCCTCATTTTCCATTCCTCTCCTCATCCTTCTCTTCCGACATGTTTCCCGAAAAGCTTCAACAACGGCTGGAGGAACGCATGGTCCAATAGCGTGGCCAAATGATCCCCAAACGTTTCGCCACATAGGCGTATCCTAGAAGGCAGGGGGCGGCGGTGATTCGCCGCAGGCGTCTTCGATGAAGACACGAGCAATGTGTTTTGCACATCAGCGCATAATCCTGGTCAGTGCCAGCAAGGGGAATCGCATGCCACACTGACTCCCTGCGCTGGCACACAGAACAAACATCGACGCCATACAAAACATCAAGGACAGGACCGATCCGCTAGCCTTTGGCAACGACATGTCGTCACTCTCCTGATGGCATTGGACCCACCATCTGACGGTTCAATCACCCTGCTCTGTTAGGGATGGCCGCTATACGATCTGCAAGTCGATCAAGCATCAAGTCCTCAGCCGAGGTGGGCAGCCCTTCAAATACGCCCTGCATTATCGAGCATTGCGTGGACAAGTAAGGCTTCGGGCCAGACAGCCCCGCCAGATAGCCGCAGCTGGCATCAACAGGCCCCCCGAGTAGCTCCAGCTGGCCTCAACAGGCCCCCCGAGTAGTCTAGAGGCCCTCTAAATGGGGTCAGAATAAATGGGGTCTGAGGATCGCGCCGCATCGCCGATGCATCCGGAAATACGTCGCCGATGCACAGGCGATGCATCGGCGACGCCGGCGGTGCATCGGAGGCGTCAGCGTGGAGAAATCGACGCTCGACATCGAGCCGCATCGCCGATGCATCGGCGATACGACGCGATCCTCCGACCCCGTCTACCCCGAGCCCATCTGGGAGGCCAGGGACAGTCTGGCGTGGTCTCCTCCTCCTCCTCCTCCTCCTCCTCCTCCTCCTCCTCCTCCTCCTCCTCCTGCCCCTCCTATAGGGGCGCGGGGAGCGCCACGGGGGCGCCCCACGTGAGGCGAGTCGCCCATGCGTTGAGCTCGCGCCCGGGCTGCTCGACGGGGGGCCCGCGGAGGCCCGCTGGAGCTGCTCGGGGGGGCCTGCGGAAGCCAGCTTCGGCGGCGACGCCTGGGGGAGGAGGAGGAGGAGGATTTGGTGAGGAGGCTCGTGGATGCGTGCCGCCTGGCCTGCGGGCTGCGGGGGGGCTGGTCCTGGGCCATCGAAGACCAACTCCGCAGATCTGGGCATCAAACCACTGGACCCCGTAGCGCAGTGATGTGCTGTGGTACGCACATGCGCTCCTCGGATTCGGTCTGCGCGCAGCCCGAAGCCTTACCGGCGTGGGCCCGAGTCTCCCCGAAGGCGGACGCTCGAGGCCGCGGGCGCACGGCTCGAGCGCTGCCACGATCCGGCGGCCCCCGGGCAGCCGAAGACAGCATGGCTGGCACCTGGGCGGCGCGCGGGTCGTCCTGAGCAGGTCGAGCAACGTCGACGAGCACAGGGCGACGAAATCTACACATAGCCACTGCCCCCCTGGCCAGGCCAATCCTGAACCCAGCAGCGGTGTATACGCCACGACCTCCTTGCTGGGGCAGGAGGGCGTATGCACAGCTCCCAGGTTCAGGATGGGCCTGGCATGGCTGGCATCCAGGCGGCCAGCGGGCCATCCTGAGCAGGTCGCGCAGCGAATCGGGGGTTGCGAAAAGGTGCCCCTGGCCCAAGGTGCCCCCAGCTTTCCGCTCCATTGTGCAGCCCCTGGGACCCTCTGGCCCTCGTGAGGGGTGCTCTGGAGGCCGTGGGGGCCACCTTGGTAATCCTGGGGGCACCTTGGGCCAGGGGCACTTCTGACAACACCCGACAGCATGTGAGAAGGTAGACATCCGGGCGGCCTGTGGATCGCCCTGAGCAGGCCGGGAAACGTGGACGATCGGGCTGTGAGAAGGTAGAGCACGAGCTGGCGGAATACAGTCGGGGCGTTGACCTAAGGAACCCTAAAAAGGAACGAGGCCCCTTTTTGTCCATAAGTTAACCTTCGATTTCCTGTCGAAAACATAAGGAAAGCCTGAGGCAAGCTGTGAAACACTTAAGGAACACGGAGCCCCTCCCCAACGAAAAGGGTTCCTTCTTCGGGGCCCCGACTGTAAGAGATGATACCAGGGCCGTGGAGGTCGTGATGTAGCCGCCGCAGGCTTCAACTCTAGGCAGACTCAGAAGCCCTGACTTCCACCTCTTGCCCCAGCTTCGCGCTGCGGTACATCGCCTCTATCGAAACGACCGTCTTGCAACCGACATCAGCATCGGCTGCATTGAAAATGTTTTGGCCAAGGCAGGCGGCGATGAGTGTCTGTACGGACTCGGGGCCGTTACCCTCCTTCTCAAAGTTCTCGAACTCGAAGCCTGGGAACTTCTCGTTGTTGCCGTCGTGGCGCTGCAGGACCAGTCCCTCGGACACGCACGAATTCTCTCCCGACCCTGTAGATTCGACAATGTCACCACTAAAAAGAAGCATACCCTCTGTACCGATGATCTTGTTGTCGACCTTTTTGCATGAACCTGGGATGTCGCCTATTCCCTGAACGGAGATCGTGGCACCTCCCGTGCAACGAACGGTCGCAGAATCGTATATATCGGCTCCAGTCGTTCCAGAATAGCTCATGTGACAAAATACGCTCTTCGGCGTCAGTCCAGTGACCAGGTAGACCCACGCGAACGTATGCGACAGTTGACCCCACGCAAAGCCATTCCCAAGCATTGTGCCAGTAGGTTTGACCCAACCTACATTCGCTGGATTGTGAAACAGCCATGCCAGAGGGCTGAATAACGCGCAACTTACGTGCTTCACTTCGCCAATTCTGCCACCACGTACAAGGTCATGCGCTCGCTTAGACTGCTGCCGGAAGTTTGCCGAGTTGTTCACCATCAAAGCCTTACCGTACGACGATGCGGCTTTGGTCAACTCGAACGCTTCGAATGGATCCGTTGTCATCGGTTTTTCTATCAGGATGTGCCATCCCGCTGACATGGCTTTCATGCCAACTTCGTGATGACTTGCATGCGAAGTGCAAATAATGATTCCGTCCACCATCCTAGCCACTTCCGAAGCGAGGAGGTCGTCCATGCTGCGAAAGACAGGAACGCTGTACAACTCGCGCAGCTCATCTGTTGTTTTGCTGTCGCCCTCGACACACTTCGGAGCAGGATTGGGTTCGACGATGGCGGCAATCTCTGAGTTTGGGTTACGATGAAGGTGTGGGAGGTGCCACCCTTGCGACCACCAGCCTGCACCACACACTACGATCCTCGCCTTCTTGGTGCAGTCTGTCCTCGCTTTCTTCGGCGAGGTCTCATCATTTGCCGTGGCCATTGCAGCCTGCGCACCTCGAAAAACAACGGCGCCCTGATCCAGATTGCTGACGCAGAAGAACAACAACTGCAGCAGCTGGGGAGACAAACGTGGGAGGGAGGGAAAGGGATTCCGAAGTCCTCACCGTTACGGACCGCAGCACTCAACACGACTCAATAGATCCACCTGACACAGCAAGTTGCTTGAAACATAGGATGTGTACAGCACGTCGTATCAGCTCTCCTCGCAAAGCAGAAAAAGATCACGGGCAACCGGGCTGAGAAAACGTTTTTCGGAAGGCAATGCGGCATGGTTCAAGTACCTATCGGAGATCGCGCACGCGTAGTTCATTCCTCCCGCGTCCATCCGACTCCTGACATCATCCTGCCTGTTACACTTCACTCATACTGGGGAAGGTGAACAAACGAATGATTCAAATGGAAGTTCTGATTCAACACTGTCTGCGCCGCCGGAGCCCATGACGGTGTCCAAGATATAACAATGACGTGTTCCCCGGGCAACACAGCCCGATGTGGTAAGCTGTTCCGCGTGCGCGTGGTTATCCAGTATGAGGCTCTAGCTGTGGGCATGTGGCGCATAAGTGACATATTCCGTGTTGGTCAGCCTCGCACGGTCTTGGGCCACCAACCCTCCTTGGGCAGAATCGTGCGAAAATTCCCCCGAAAATGCTCTTCCCAAAACAGTCCATCCACTGGCGGGCTGTTGATTGATGTGGTAGTGGCTTGGCATTGGACGTCGGAATCTTCATCTGCCCTCCATACTCTGCACGAAGGTCCCCCGAACATGTTTTTAGCTGTTGGCTCACCATGTCGCAAATGTCGCGCGCACTCACAAGCACATGCCCGAGCTAGTCCCAGCAGCTCGACCACCACTGTCTCGCCCGATCGCTCCCTCGCCCAGTACAAGCATCGAGGCGGACAAGGCAGCGCCACGGCATGCCCGCCATCGTGTTTCGCCCCCACCCACCACCACCCACCCCGCACACGTTTCCGAAGCGCTGGTTCTCCACTGCCGCCCCCACAGCAACCTGTCGCAGCTCATCGCGAAGCACGGGGCGCTCAGGGAGCCGCTGGCGCAGGACCCGCGGCAGCGGCGGCGCCGATTCCGCGGCAGCACCGGCGGGCGGCAAGGAGGACAAGGCGATAGGGAGGATTTGGGAGGACGACGAGAAAAATGAGGTTGGAGGAACAGAGCGGGGTGGAGGGCGGGAGGCAGGAAGGGGAGCCTGGAGGGAAGATGAAAATGGAGGAGCGAAGTTCACGAAGCACACGCTGCCATGAGGAAGAGGAGTGAAATAGGAGATGGATGGGAAGGGAGGGAAGGAGGAGAAGCAGGAAAAGAGGAAGGTCGACGAGAAGGAGGGGGTGGAGGAGGGGGTACAAGAAAAGCAGGACGAGAAACAGGAAGATGAGGAGAAGCAGGGAGGATGTCTGAAAAATATGAGGAAAACAGGCAGAATGATAATCAGGAACGGAAGGATGAACGACGGGGGAACAGGAGGAACAGGCGGAGTACAAGAAGAAGACATGAGGACTTCAAAAGTCGCGGTGGATTGTCAGATCCTGCTGTCGACACCTTAAGCCCAAAAAGGTTGCGGATGTGCCCGCACCTGCTCGACATATCAGCTAGGCATCGCAATGATTGTGATCAAGGCGCGACACCAGACTTAGTCGATGAAGATAATATTTCGTGCGACGTCAGAGGCGAGCGTTGACTTCCCTCGCCGGGACCCGCCTTTTGGGATACCAACAGCCGCTCCTTATACAGCTTACTAGTAACAGCTGGTCGCCAAGCGCACTAAAGGTTATGATACTGACAAGAATTGCCAGCGGCGCGCCGAGGACAAGCGACCACTGATCGGCAACACGTCCTAAGCAGGCACAGTGCGCGCGCACGCTACGCGACGATAACGCGTAGGCGTTGAAAGCCTGCGGCCATGAGCACGACGTTAGGCTGCACAGCCTGCCATCGTGACAGATGTGTGCCCGCGGCCCGGCGCCTGCTGCCAGACAGCAGACATGTGGGCACGCGCCCGCTACCACGCGCCTGCTGCCAGGCGAAGCGAAGCGTAGCGAGGTTCGCAACCCCGCGACGGGGCAGGCCCAGCACCGCGTGCGCCCTGCATTACTGTTGCGTGGCACATGGTATTAATATCCCTACTTGTACTTCTACGACTACTATTACTACTACTCTACTACTACTACTACTACTACTACTACTACTACTACTACTACTACTACTACTACTACTACTACTACGACTACTACTACTACTACTACTACTACTACTACTACTACTACTACTACTACTACTACTACTACTACTACTACGACGACGACGACGACGACGACGACGACGACGACGACGACGACGACGACGACGACGACGACTACTACTACTACTACTACTACTACTACTACTACTACTGTGGTGCCTACTGCTATGGTGTCCTGACATGAAATAACAACACGGCCACTGCACGGGTCGCATGATTGTCTGCATGTTAGTGTCGGGCGTGTCGCACCACTAGACACCATGCACAATGTCCCTCTCAATCCTCTGTCTTATCCGACTAAAAAGTCACAGTTGGATACATTATGTAGGCAGGTCCGCGTCTGTGCTTGCTAAGGATTTACAGCGATACTCGGCATCAACGGTGCGAGATACCGTTATGCATAGGCCACCCTTTGTCCAATACGCCTCGAAGTTGCTCCCGGGACATAGTGGCTCCAATCTTGAGTTCGTGTAATGTGACTACTGTCGGGTAGTAGTCATCATGATTATGTGCCGAAGCCAGTGCTTCTACCGAGTAAACCGAAGGCACCTGAAGACGATGCGACTTACGATATGCATCAAGGAGGTGGGCGACGGCAGCGCTGCTTCGCGTGCCAGCAAGTTTGCCACACCGATGCCTCATCGTTTGTCCTCTTCATCCGCATCTCCTATCAGCCGTCGGTATCCAGACTCGCTGTGCATATCTACCCCCTCTGTTGGTGTCCGGACTGGACACGTGAGCTTCAGCTGATTTGGACAAGACTCTAGCAGTACATTCACCGTGTACAACCTGCAAACTTGGATGTTAGTCGGCTCCTGAATTCGTTAAAGTAAGACAACGTAGACCATGAGCCACACCCGTGTGGAGATAGCATGTACCAACGAACCTCTCAGACTTATAAACATATCTGTCAGCGTTTTGGTAACTTTCTCCTCGGGCGCGACTCCCGTCAATTCGGAATGCTGGACATGACTATACCGATCCTCCGCGGCAGTCAGCGCACATCGCGTAGCTACTATTTCATTCACACAATTCCACCGGCAAAGCGCACAATTCTCAGACATCTTCCGGACTGTTGCTAGCCCCCGCAGGCAAGCTACCTTACTCATCACACATCATAGAAACCAGGACGCATTCGTCTGATAGTATTGGCGTTGGCACAGTATACAAGCTGGGCCATAGTGGAATTCCGAGAAGTCTTCGTGATGTAGCGCTTTTGCGACATTAAGCTCTTCGTACCAATCCTCCATGATGCGTGCATCCTCGCCCTACCCCGGTTTTTCCTGGATTGTTGGGAATCGAGCCGTCTCCGGTCCAACCGGTGGTATTCCGACATTGCTTTCCTGTGGTTGATCGTCATGATTCTTGCCTGGACCACTGTCAGCTAGTTCCTGAAATGTGGTGAAGTCCTCACTAATTCACCTTTAAAGGTTTGGATAGTTTACGACACTGCATGGTCCTGAATCGGGCACCACCCGCGATATCTCGGATGTTCAGAGCGGTCACATTTGCTCTATAGCAAGGAAATCCAGAATTCGCGTCGCTGTCGTAATTTACGAGTGTGCGGCTATCAGCGCGTGCGTATTGTGGTAGCATGCGCACACTCTTTGCAAAGCGCACTGTAATTGTGTTTTCAGTCCTGAAGAAATTCTGGATGAGGCACTGTCGTGCAAGGTGTACCTCTGGATGCAGATTGCTTCCAATCGCCATGAGCGAGTTGCCTCGCGGTTAAGAAGTATTACCGGATGTTATAGCTGGTTGCCCAGCAGCGAGACCAGAAATGAAAGTAACCACTGTACGCATGGCAGCACTGTCGGATCCAAATCCAAGTACTGCGAGAGCTTCGATTTACAGTGTATGTCGGACGTCTGGGCATTGCACCAAGATTTCTCGAGTACCCGTTTGTACCGCAACCTGTCCTCGATCAGGTATATTGCACAATACCGGAAATGATCCATTCCGTCCTCCCCAGTCGTCCTTGCTCGCGGTAAGTCGACGGTAGTCAACTAGGTCGCAATGTGTGTAATGATGCTGTCCAACTTGTCCGATCGTTGTTTTCAGAACTCGGTTGGCTTTCGCCACTGCAGTTGCCTGCGTGCTGTCCCCGATGCTTACTTGCGCACCTGTTGTTCCCTGCGATGGTCGGACGTTTCCGACGATGCATGATAACAGCGCAGGTTTGAATCAGGTAGCCATGCATGTTGGCGCCCATGTAACGCACCATGTCAATACGCCTTCGAAGAAGGTGAAGGCGCTGTTTTCGAACAAGGCATCGACAAGGAGCCTCATGAACTGCATTGGTAAGCCGATGAAAGCTTGATAGTTTGCCATGATATGCATCGCGCCGCGTGGACGTCACTCCTAGCTTCAATGGTGGTCGCATGTTGGCCAGGAACCCGTATCCGGAGCTCAGTGCCCATGTATTTCAAGATGGCTTTCGCCGCATCATCATTCACGGCAACTTCTCCATCGGAGTATGGGACCTCTGCTGTTTCGAAGATGCCCCAGCAACAATGAGAAGCATCTGAGATGATGCGCATGGCGCGGTCAGGGATTGCCCGTCCTGCGCTCCATGTTCTTTCCCAACCATCCTGTGGTTTTGGGTCCTCGTTTTGAAGAGACAGCGCCCCGCGTTCCTTCTTCCTTCCTCCTCCTTCCTTCCTCCTCCCCCTCCTCCCTCCTCCCTCCCCCCCCCCCTTGCCTCTGCTCTCGGCACACCTCTCACACGCTCCGTAGCCCCACTGGGAGCTCCACCGTAGGCCCCAGTGGGGGTTATCCGCATGCGGTTCCCCCACCCAGGGCAGCGCTTCGTGGCCCCATAGGGAGCTCCACCGTAGGCCCCAGCGGGGGTGCCCGCATGCGGTTCCCCCACCCAGGGCAGCGCTTCGTGGCCCCATAAGGAGCTCCACCGTAGGCCCCAGCGGGGGTGTCCACATGCGGTTCCCCCACCCAGGGCAGCGCTTCGTGGCCCCATAGAGAGCTCCACCGAAGGCCCCAGCGGGTGTGTCCGCACGCGGTTCCCCCACCCAAGGCAGCGCTTCGTGGCCCCATAGGGAGCTCCATTGTAGGCCCCAGTGGGGGTGTCCACATGCGGTTCCCCCACCCAAGGCAGCGCTTCGTGGCCCCATAGGGAGGTCCATTGTAGGCCCCAGTGGGGGTGTCCACATGCGGTTCCCCCACCCAGGGCAGCGTTTCGTGGCCCCATAGGATGCTCCACCGAAGGCCTCAGTGGGGCGTGGGTGTCCACATGCGGTCCCCACCCAGGGCAGCAGCGCTTCGTAGCCCCATAGGGAGCTCCACCGTAGGCCCCAGTGGGGGTGTCCACATGCGGTTCCCCCACCCAGGGCAGCGTTTCGTGGCCCCATAGGGAGCTCCACCGTAGGCCCCAGTGGGGGTGTCAGCATGCACTTCCCCCACCCAGGGCAGCGCTTCGTGGCCCATAGGGAGCTCCACCGTAGGCCCCAGTGGGGGTGTCCGCATGCGGTTCCCCTACCCAGGGCAGCGCTTCGTGGCCCCATAGGGAGGTCCCCCGTAGGCCCCAGTGGGGGTGTCCACATGCGGTTCCCCCACCCAGGGCAGCGCTTCGTGGCCCCATAGGGAGCTCCACCGAAGGCCCCAGTGGGGGGGTCCGCATGCGGTTCCCCCACCCAGGGCAGCATTTCGTGGCCCCATAGGGAGCTCCACCGTAGGCCCCAGTGGGGGCGTCCGCATGCGGTTCCCCTACCCAGAGGTAGCGCCACCGAAAACGATATTCATATTTGCGGTTTTCACAACTGCGTATAGTTGGGTCCTTCGCCAAGCTATTTGTTTGGTTTACAGCGGTCACTCATGTGGAAGATGTTTTGTTTCTTGTAGAACATGAAGACATGGTGGGGTTTCCAGGTTTCTCCCAGGCACGACATTCTCTACAAATGTCACAGACCTCCTTGATCACGCCGAAACGGTCGGGATCGAGGCCGACCTTTGAGAGGCTCAACCGCATTGGGGGCTATGGCTGGATACCATCTGAAAAACAGTTTTGTTAGTTCGCCTCGGGCGACCGCAGGATCAAGGCCCCGAAAGTTATGCAACTTCATTTGGAGATCGAATCTGGTGCAATCTCGGATCTCTGGAAGTCCAGAACGGCTGCCGTGACGTCTTGGATCCTCAGGTGATGGCGTGACACCCTGAGCTCTACCACGTCGGCCAATTGCCTGCTCATCTCGTTCAGAATCAGGCGCGTCTCCGCGCGAGCGCCCTGGGTTCGCGCTTGGGTCCGCTCGCGCGGCTGGTCGTGGTGCATGCGCTTGAATATCATGCTGGCCAGATGCTGCTGCTGGTGGAGCCCCGCTGCTGCTGGCACTGGATGGCGGCGGTGCTGGCGCTGCTGCAGGTTGCCCTGCTGATGGTGGCGCTGGTGAGTTTGCACCGACATCTGGCGGTAGCGCATATGACACGGCGAGCGCATGCACTTGGAGAAGGCCAGTGTTCTCGCAACTTCCGTCCAGAGTCCATATTGCAGCTCAGGCGTTCCAAATTGATCACGGACCTGTTATGCCAGCGGCAGGGATTGGGGTCAAGCGCGTGCATGGGGCTTGTTATACGACGTTGTCTGCGCAGGCTGGCGACCCAAATACCCATTGTGGTGACCGTGTTATGACGCCGGAAAACGTCCTGCGGATGGCGGGATCTGCGAGGACAAACCCACTGTCCACAAGGTAGACCCGAACGTCTCCGTGCCCAGCTTCCAGCATGTACCCATGCACGGCCTCAACGAATGGCGACTGCATACGATACGTGTAGAGCGCTACCTTAGCGAGGGCTCTGCTACAGACATGCGCATGGATATGCTGCCCGTCACATGTAAATTATCAGAAACGTTGCAGTACGACGGGTTCATTATTA